GTTGGCCAGACTTGGTGTGGGGTAGGATGTAGATCTGATATTTTCTGGAGGCTGCATGTGATTCTGCATAATGTAACTTCTCACTTAAAAACTAATGACATTTCCAGAGGTTCTAGTTTGGAAGACAAGCTTATGAATATGAAGCAGCCACAAGGGAAGAAAAAAATAAGTAGGAAGAAACCCCCCTGGGGCAGATGCAGGAGGTGGAAGTTGAAGGGAAAGTCCAGAGGCCCTGGCTGCTGCTGCAGCCAGAGTGAAAGGGGGAGGGAGGGACGGCTGGGAGCTCAGGAGCAATAGATATACCCCTTGTAGACCACATGCAGCCAGCAGGCTGCCAGTTGGTCAGTGCTGTGATAAATAATTTCCCTTTTTTTGTATTTAAACCCCTCTTGTATGTGAGGATCAAGATCTGTATATCAGATACTCAGCTTGTCTCATCCACATCTAAGATCATTATTATGTATTCAGTGTAGTTATTATTGTCATGCAAATTGTTTCATGCTAAACATAAAGTTCATTCAGGGGTTTGGGAAATGCAGCTAGCGTTCCATTCATTCCTGGGAATATTAATTACCTTGATGAGTATTCTATATAACCTGCATAAAACACTGCCCTTAAAATTCCTGCTTAACCAGTTCCACTAGCTATACCCACAGACGTATGATGAGTTTCCTGACATGTGAATTGCACCATAAACAAACTTAGAGCTAGAGCATCCTCATGGAAAAGGGCTGGAGGACTTCAGACAGCCTAAGCAAGTTAGGCACCACTGGATCTTGGAATGAAATTCCCGATTTTGAAAAATCTTAGTTTGCGAATTCCTGGCAGATGAGGGCGCTTTCTAGCAAGCAAAGGAAAAATTACTATAGGGCAGGGGTAGGCAAAGTGTTTTGGCTGGAATGCCAAAAACTCCACGATGTCTACCTTGGAAGGTGCTGGAGTGCCGACATGCCGGAGCAGCTGTTTGCAGCCTCCTGGCTGCAGTCAGCCCACAGAGCCCTGTCTGCTTGCAGCAGAGCTTGCAGCCTTCCAGCTGCCTGTTGGGAGCAGCCTGGGCTCCGTGGCTGGCAGCAGCTGCTTAGAGCCCATGCTGGCAGTGGTGTGCCAAGCAAAATGGCCTTGCGTGCCATGCTCGGCACACATGCTGGGGGTCGCTGACCCCTGCTATAGGGCATGACAAGTGCCAGGCTTTACACTGGAGTCTGCTTCTGTCAGTGTACTGGACTAGTGTCCCTGAGAAAGCAAGTTCATGCCAGGGCTGGCATATGGTTTGTTAGTGCCACAATGTTCTCTCCCTACTGTAAATGATGTGGCTGTATCACACAGAGGTATGCTAGGATATGGGATTGTGAATGATGAATTCAAAAGAGAGGATAATTGACTTGGGGTAAAATTATTATAATTTAGTGGCACTGGAGGAGTAAACTCATCGGTGTATGCAAGGGAGTCAGGCACCTTGAGAATGACCATGTAAGATCTACAAAACTAGTGCAGAGGAGCAGGCTCTCCAGCTGTAAAGACATCCAGACTGGGATGCTATAAAAGTAGCAAATCTAAACCCTCTGTGTGCCAGTACGCAAACACAAGAGACACAAGGCTGGTGCCAAGCTGTAGTGTTTGGTATTTTATATTGCATTTCTTCCTTGTATCCTTTATCTATATTGGCTTTATAGGGCTGAATTGTGGTACTCTGGCAGTGATCTGGGGCATCTGACAACACAAGTAGCTGTACTGGCTTCTGTGGGATTGTTCATGAATATACTTTTTTAAATGAGAACAAAGGTGGTAGAATCTGGCCCTTGTATTGGAAGCTCAATGCACTCAGTACTCAAGCTTCTTCAGTGTACATACACTATACTTCTAAAACTACATGGAGAAGAAAGCAGCTTGACTGTCCAGGACCTCACCTGCTGAGGATAAGTTTTTGATCATGTTCAGGCAATCGCTGGCTCCATACAGAAAGATGAATTTGAAGGTGAGAACACCTTGGTTGGAAGCTAAGGGGATGAGATAGTGAGAATGAGTGAAGTCAGCTGACATTCCTGCACCGGATACGTTTCCTCTCTCCACACACTGCTGTGTTGTATATTTTTCCTCGGCTTTTTGTACCCAATTGTTTTTTCTGCTCTTCCCTCCTGCAGTACCTTTCCCCACCAGCTCACAGGCATGAATGAACGACACCTGTGAAGCAATTCTGACCTTGCCCGAAAAGTAATGTTACAAAAGGGCATGACTAGGCATTTGTAGATCATATCTATTCTTTGAGTGGGTCTTAGGTAATGTTCTTTTGGACTTCTCCTTCAAGGATGTAAAACCTCTTTACAGTCACTGCTTAGGTCTTATAACATGCCTGCACAGTGGGGATCATTATCCCCAGAATGGAAGTGAAGCACGGAAGAGGCTTGTCCTCTTGTGCAGGCAGTGGAACATGGGGGTTTTAGTTCCAAAGAATCTGTTGCAGCTAGGTACTTAATGATTTCTCTATCATGTGTGGAAGGACACTGACACCCAGTGAGCCAGCTGCATTTATCCTAGGCAAACATCCTGATGTTTATTCTGATACGTGTGTGTATCTATTTGAGCACAAAGTGTTTTCCTTACTAACTGAAAATTATAGCTGATGGATTCAAGATTTATGGATGTCCCAATTCCTTCATCCCAGCCCTTGCTTCCCATTTACAGGAGAAGACAGCAGGAATCAGATGCAATACCAGCTCAGTGTACCTGATGAGTAATCTAAATCCCCTTTCCTACAGTGGTTATGAAAACACAAATGTATGTGGCCTTCTGGTTAATACACCCACATTGAGTCCACCTGCCTCTCCTCACCTGAAGTGAATGTGAAAGTGATTTGTGGTGGCTGTGGATATAAAAATATGACACCTACTAATAGTTCCTGTGACATATTGCTGCTTGGAGCTTGCCTCTTCCCCTAGCGCACAGTCCCCCAGAAGCTGAAGTGGAAAACGGACAGTTGTGGAGCCCTTGTCCTTGTGCTGGAATATTATCTAGGGAAATGGAGATACGAACTGTGTCACGAAGAGGATGGCTTTGGCTGGTGGTATTTACTTAGGAAGTGGGGGAACCATAAGGGAAGAAAGAGGCTGAGGAACCCACTGCCAGTACTGGAGATGACGAGCCAGAGAGAGTTAAACAACTTGGACCAGGGCCAACCCATTACCCCAGTATATTGCTTGCTACGCTGGTCCCCTCTAGTCAGGGGTCACATTACTCCCTGCCAAAAGTAATTATGAGAACAAATTTGGAAATGAATGAAAATCATGGAAGTGTCAGAAAGTGCTATGGATGGGACTGCCTCACAGAATGGAAGACCGTGATTCTCACCCCTAATAGGAGCAAAGAGAAGATCCACCTCTTGGTAACACCATTTCCAGGATATTGCTTGCTCTCCAGAACTAATAATCCATTCTATGGTATGGACAGTGACCAATGAGTGCACCATGATGCGTTTTCCCTTGACAAGCAGCAATCACATATTCAGTAGGAAAGAACTTTCTTTTAAATGAAAGGAAAGAACCAACATGGAACAAAAGAGACCATGGTGCGTGAGTCTCCTCTGCAACATACTACACCTGAACTGAATGCAAAGTAGTAGCTGCCTCCTGCAGGTTTAAAGGGAAAGTGTTCCAAAAATATACTAATAGTAGTTGGTTTAATGCAATGGGGGCCACAAATTAGCCCTGCACTCTCCCTAAGTGCCACTCTGATCTACTTCCCCTGTGCTCTTTCTTGTCTCTCCCCACACATACAGAGGCTATCTGGCACCCTGGTTTAATGCACCATTTGCTGGGTAATAGCATGAGAGGTTTTATACTGGAAAGGTTTACTAGGCTAGTAAACCCTCCTTTTGCAGATGCAAATTTAGTAACCTCAAAGGGTTACTAACCAACATAGCTTCTGTTAGTTCTCCCAGTACCTTTTGTGTTGTTATAGCTGTATCTATGTTAGGGCTGTACTGGCAAAAAAATCAGCATGACCAACCAAGTGAGGCAAACCTTTATTGTGTAGTTTTGACCTTATGGAATTAACTGGGTCTGTATTAATCTGTTCATAGAGGTACTGTAACTGCAGTTTAGCATTCTAGCTATACAGACTGACTTCTAGGCTGCATCTCCAATCTTTTTCCTTCTGCCATCCACACTTTTCACTCCAAAAGCCATGCTGATTTGTCCAGTGATGACATAGCTACATGACACAACAAACTTTAAGTCTATGCAAAGCCAGCTCATAACTTGTGTAATCTGCCAGCCTTTCAGGTATGATAGAGTTGGGCACAAGGTAAGTAACAGGATAGATGGAGTTTTGGTTCTTACTTTGTACTGTGTCAAATACAGCATGCCTTTCTTTTCTCCTTGGAGCTCCTCTGGAAAGTTCGGCATCTCATCCAGCACTAGCAACACATTACTGAAATGAGCTAGAACCCTGGAAATAAAACCCCACACACATTACCCTTAAAGAAGCAAATGTGATGGGGGAAATAAGATCCAACGAGCAATTTTACCCTTGGGCTTTTTCCTTGCATGTCACCTTTAGATATATTTGCTGAGGCCCAACTATGTAAGATGCTAAGTACTCTCCTGCAAGAGGCTGAGTGCCACTGACGCTGAAAGCTGCTCAGTATCTCATAGAATCAGGCAGTAAAGGGAAATGAAAGCACCTGGGACTGATGTACTGGTTCCCTGTTGTCTACACGTGGGGGGTTTCAGAGGATTCAGTGGGCTTCTGAAAGTGGTTAAGCTTTCATCATTCTTATGGAAAACTCCCATAAATCCTCTGGTTCCAACTAGGCTGGGATTCATATTCACTCTATCCTGGCTTCTGGTTGGAGTTTTCCCTTCCACCTGTAGAAATACAATATAAAATACCATATAGGGCCTGAACCTGCAACTTTACTCATGTGAGCAATGCATACTCCTGCAACAAAATCAGGCAGCTCATGGAGAGGTGCAGGGTCAGTCTCTTGAGGCCCTCCTCTGAAACCAGGTGAGATACTGTAGTTTCACCTCTTCAAAGTGCTTTATGAACGCTAATTAGCAAGTACTGATTTGTTAACACTCCCTTAAGCAAGAGCTCCAGGACCACAAGCTCTCCTAAGGTCAGCGAGTTCAAAAGAAGTCTCATCATCATCACTGCAGTTGTTTAATGTTGTTAAATTTCATGTTGGAATGAGCATAGATGCCAAAAGATTTTCTAGTTAAGAAGTTTTTTTTCACTTGTTTGCAAAGTTCTGTTATCCCACAGAAAAACTGATGCTCTATAACCAAGTTGTTAGTGGCATCATGATTGTGAAAAAATGGCTCAAAAACCATGAGGCAAACTTTATTTTTAAATTCAGCACTAACAATTCAGTTTAGAATTTGACTCTTACATCAGCAATTTCAGCAAGAAGCACCATCTCCATTTTTTTTCACGGGCTGGACTTGATGATCTTCCAAGGTCCCTTCCAGCCCTAATGCCTATGAAATCTATGAAAATGTAGATTCCAGAATGTCAGGCTGAATTTCAGTACCGGTTTCACTAATGCTAGTGCTAAAATGACTGTCTTTTTCCTGATGGCTACTTCCTTTTTTATACATCCAAGAGTTGCATTAGATCTTTTAATTATGCTGTCTTACTAGCAACCCCTGTTGAGCTGCTTGTTCAGTGTGACCCCCAGAGCTTTCTTGGAGTCCATTTTTCAGGGTGCAGTCCCCCACTTTACAACCTGACCTGCATGCCATTTTCTTAGCATTGGGTATCCAGGTTGTAGCTGTATTAGTTTAGGGGAAAAGGCAATCAGGACTTGAGTAGAGATGATATCTTTTATTAGACCAACAAGATTTTTGCAAAAAAATAAATAAGAAATCTTTAATTGCAATTAAAGAATTTGTTTTCAAAAATCTTGTTGATCTAATAAAAGATGTCATCTCTACTGAGTTCTGATAAACTTTGCATTGGGCTGTACCAACATGCATTTTGTTTGAATGGGCTTAGCTTACCAAGTGATAAAAAATGCTCATCTGACTGCTCTGTCCTCATCATTATTTACTACTTTATCAAACTTGTTTAGTACATTACATCTGTAGTTACTTTATCTACCAAACTTGCAATTGCTTTCACAGGTGGAGACAATAGATGCATGCCAAAAACTTCATGAAGGCTCTTAAATATGTAAGACATCTAATGTGGATTTCAGACCTTAACTATAGGTGTCAGAATGTGACCAAATGCACTCTGAGTGTTTGCTGGAATCCCGTGCGCTCCAGGGAGCCAGCCTGGGAACAGGAATATGGACAGGTATTTGTTTTACCTTTCCTCAGAGGAGTTTGTTGTCCTGGAGAATTGGTATCTGGTCACTTCCATTTGTGTTCATGAAAAGGCAAGCTCTTCCTCTTATATTTAGTGGTGCACCCCACTCAAGGAGTGCTACCAGCAAAGTGAAGGACTCAGTGGCCAGCAGTTCTTTGTGATGTCAATAGTTGAGGTAATATAACAAAGGCCTGAAAACTAGCATGGTCCTTGAACTATACAAGAGCATGGCTTTGCTTGGACTCAGGTAAGTGCTAGCATAAGCACCCAAAGCATGTGTACAAAATTTCACTTTTACCTATGAATTTCACCAAAGTCCTGTCAGTCTCTTAGGAACACACAGTGCAGCTGTTTTTCATTTATGGATAAGGACCATTCCCTTTATTAGTCT